TCCATTCTGTAGGTTTATTTTTTTCTCTCCAGAAATGATGTTCCTATATATACTCCATCTTCAAAATTCCAGGTGGTCCCAAAAATGTGTCTTTATACTAACTATATTAAAAGAGAAGCTGCCTAAATAGGTCTAGGTTTGAACTAAACTCATTGCTCCTTTCCCCCACGATCAAAATCACACACATTTGACTAATCTTTTGGAGACAAACCCCACAGCTTTTTAGAGTTGCTTTTCAAATGTGAATGCTTTATTTTAATTGTACATTTAGACTTGGAGCACATTAATGCAAGCTGCTGAGTGCTATTAATTTGTCTTGTCTTTTGCCTCTGCATATACCATGTAGTCTGACCCTTCTTTGAGAGGAGATACTGCTGAAAATTGCTGGAAGACTCGTGCAAGATGCTTGTCTCAAGAGGAAATATATTTATGGAATAAGGATCAAAGGAATGTCTGTGTTTGTAGATTGCATTCTAATACAAAGACAGTTTTGTTACTTTTAAATATATTGGCTTTGAAAATGGAATCCTAATGAAACAGTCCATGCATAATTCTTAGCAGTTGCATCTAGTTTTCCAAGTAAAGTAATTTAGAAGGTAGCTGGTGAAATCCATATGAAATGCTGCAAGCTGCAGTTGTATGGGTAAAGTCCACTTGGATATCAGATCTTACATTAACTTCTATAAACAAAAAAATGTCCCTTAGCTCCAAAGTTTCTGAACCAGAGGTCATGAAACACTGGAAGGATAAACCAGTTAGGTTTCGTGAATGTTTTCTCTGCTTTTGAGCTCTTCTTTAGGCTGTGCATTACTGATCCCTATCAAAGTCAGGATACTGGGCTAGATGTAGCTGTAATTCTATCTTCTGAAGAATATTGTTTTAATAATATTTTGAATTATTTGGACTTTATGTATATATTAACTGTACCATGAAACTATTCAGTCTCTATGATGTAATGTCAATTGAAAATCCATTTCAGAGGAGGGGGAAAATTCAGCCAGATCAAAAACTAATGCTCAAACAAGCCAAGGGTCTTTTCTCATTTGAAAATAAAATAAACCAAAACTTAGCACACTCCCCATACTTAGGATTTATAATAAGATATGTAAAAAAAAGTCCAAGAACAAAAAAGGACTCTTTAAAAGAGCCTCCTAAATAGGAATATCAGAAAATGGTTTGGGTTGGAAGGGACCTGGAAAGTCATATAGTTCCAATCTCTCTTCCATGGGGAGGGAAGGGACACTTTCCACTAGACCAAAGGGCTTTCTCAAAGCCCCTTTCAAACTGGCCTTGAGCACTTCCAGAGATGGGCTGCCTGGGTCAGTGCTTCACCACCCTCTCAGGAAAGTATTTCTTTTCAATATCTAACCCAACCCTACCCTCTTTCAGTTTAAAGATACAACCCTTTGTCCTATCAAATTCCAAATTGGGATATGGAATTTTGAGGTATGTTATTACAATTTCCTATCTGGCATGTATAGAGAAACCAGGAAAAAGGATCAATGGTTGCTAATGGTTGCAGACAAAAACAGAGCTAAACCTTATTTCTGAACTGTATGGTTCATCAGTACTAGTTATAACCAGGTTCTTATATCAAGGTTGTTAGCTTGTTTCATATACGTGTTTATAAAAAGCGAGTGTATTGCTTATATATTTTTCTGTCTTTATGCTTACTTTTCTGTCATGTCTTTCTCTATGTAGCTCTGCATATAGGATATGGCTTGTATGCAAACATGTATGCAGCTGAAGTACAATACAGCAAATGTTTAAGCACTTCATCTGTCCATGAGCTCAGTGGGACTAATTATCTGCTTATCTCTTTTACTTATATTCATTGAAGTACTAGAGGTTTGAGTCCTTAAACTGTAAGCTCTGTGGTAAGATTTTAGGCATATTTACAGCTACTATATCTGGGAACAAAACTCTAAAAAAAATAATTATAGTAAAAGCTTAAACTTTTGTGCTGCTTCTATACAAAATATAGGCTCAATTTCTGAATTAGAGTACACTAAATATATATATATATATATATATATATACACACCATATAGCACACCAATTATAGCTTATTTATATCTTTAAAATATAAAATGAGGTGATAGAAGTGTAAAACATTTTCAGCCCTTTCATATTCTTTGGTAATGAAAATCAAAATTATGACATCAGCATCCCTTTCAAGCCAACTAACTGATGCTGCAGCATTATGAGTCATGTCTTTTAACACCAAACTGCTTTTAAAAAAAAAATAATGGTGAGAAAAGGTTTGAGGGTGATACATGTACAGATCTTATTCTATTCATGGACCATAGGGAAAAGCAGCAAAAGTTCAGGATTAAGTCTATGAGCTAGAAATGTAGCTTCATTTTTCAACATCGAGCTCTTTGCTGATACTGCTCATGAACACAGTGGTTTGAGATGTTCAGTCTGCCTGCTGTAACTGCACTGGACACAGTGGTGTATCGTACATAATTGCGTAAGGCACTGAATAGCGACAGAGTGAGAGCGTTTAGTCAACCGATACCTGATCTAATCTGTCAGCAGGAACTTAGATGTGAAATTCTTCACGTGGCCTGTGCTGGGACCAACAGCAGAGCAGAGCTCCTGAGCTGCTCCCTTGTTGCATTTGTCGCTGTAGCTGTCACACTCCCTTGCACTTTCTGCACAGCCATGGATGGTGCTGCTGCCACCAGTGGTGATGCCCCAAGGGTGCCATGACAGAGTGACTGCATCAGGAACACCCACATGCTGTGCAATCAGGCTGCCCAGGAGTTCAATAAGGGCCTGTATCCTTTCAGGCCCTTAAAAGTAAGGTAATTGGGAATTTTCTTTTCAGAACAATGCTTCACTTGAAGCCCACCTTTCTCCTATGCAGTAGGCACTATGGCAGCCTCTAGCTATGGCATAACATTCTCTGCTTTGTCAAGGGTTACTGTGGTGGATGAGGACAGTTGCCCAGTGTCATTACATCATATACTGTTCTTGAATGACTGTTTTGAGTTCAGAAATGGTGAGGGGAACTGTTGACACTCTGCAGCACCAACACACCACTTGCAGGAGGTCTCTTCTCATGGTCATCATGGTTGCCACTTGCCTATAAAATTAATTCATTCCTGGTTCCTGTGGATGACTGGACAATCAGGTCAGTGTAGCTTGGTTGAGCTGCCGCATCATCCAGGTCTTCCATCAGTCACATTACCGTACAGCTGAGATCCTAAAAGGTTCACATGCTGTAGAGTTTCATACTTTCTCTGTATAAGCAGGGGAAGAAGAGTTAGGAATGATGTCGAGACCTTCATTCAAGCCCACCACAAGGACCTTTGACTGTTCAGGATTATAACTCATTCATTCTACACATTCTTGTTCACAAGTTTGGGGATGGTGGCGATTATCATTGATTATTTATGGATTCTGTGATGCAGTCTACCAAATAAGTATGTAACATCTGTGGTTTTCAGAGCTTGGGCATCTTCACTAGTGACAAAGCAGCACTCTCTTCTCCAAAAGGACTGTGGTATTGTCAGCCTTAGAGTATATGTCTAATTACTGATAGCACTGCTTGTTGCTATTCCTTCTCATCGTCCTGCTGTACTAAGTGTTGGTCAAACACTCCCTGAGCTCTTGCAGATCGAGGACAAATGTGTCTGCAGGTGCCTGGCTGCACCAAACAGACCACTGAGGGCAGTTTCCAGATCATCATGACAACTGTAGTCACCGCATAATACCACAGTTGCCAAGTAAGCATTAATGAAAGCATAGTAATGCAGCCATAATTTGTCTGTAACTTGGAATCCTTCGAGTTAGAATGGATGCTGTAGAACAGAGCTGTCCAGTTATCCTTGATGCAAATTAGCATTTATTATGGGGGGACAGTGTGGATGCTCCAAGACAAAATAGAGTCCAAATGCAGACCATTTACTATCACATAGTACAGTTGCTAACAGCAATTTACCTATACTTACTCCTGAAAGTTGCAGTGAGATATTCTTGGAGATCCTGCCACAGATTCATCTGATCATCCATATAGCACTACTTAAGCCTGGAGGTTTGTCAGGGAAATTATGCTCTCTCCTTTGAGCTGTTCCCAGTACTTCTTGGTCTAGGAGTTGAAGGAAGCAGTGGAACAATGAAAGTTAATATCTATTCATCACGGGTATGTGTGGAGATGGAGATATTTGTTCTTGGTAGTTTGGAGAGGTACAGTTCACTGGAAGTTCCCCACACACAGCCTGCTGAGACACCCACATCTCAAGGACACTAACTTTGTGTAAACACACGGGCTGGAATAATTTTACTGACCATCGCTGAGGAGAATTGCTTGGTGAGCAGTGATGGGTACAGTGACAGCATCTGCTGGCAGACATGTGAACAAAAAAAGGAATGGCATAATCCTGGAGGTAGCCTGAAAGACCTGACAGCAAGAGCATGGCACGTTTTTTGGGAGCATAGTTCTATTTTTATGATGTGTAGGTAGCAGAACATCACTTACCTGCTTGCCTTCAGATGGAATTCCTTGGTAGGAATGAGCACCCCATCAGCCCTGTAACCGTGCATGATGTGACTGGGTGTAACCTAGGTGGTGACATATGTTCTTATCAAAACAAGTACCCGTGGCTGCTGCCTTGCCAACAAAGCAGTACAAGTAATTGTACTTTGTCCTATGGACTCCATTTTCTCTCCTTCTGGGTAAGACTGGAAAGAAAAACTTCCCTCGCTTTAGGAGTTTTTGTCCAGCCAATGCCCATCACCTTTGCTGTGTGCAGTGTTAGCTGGGCAGTGCTGCCACAGGGGCTTAGGAGAGGCTGGCACTGGTGGTCTGCAGCAAGGTCCCCCTGCACTCTTGTGCTGTCTTGGTGCCAGAAGAGGCCAAGATAGAGAAATAGTATCTGGACCTAGCCCAGAAAATTGTGGAGCAACTCTTAAAATCTGTAACTCAGCATAGATTGAGAAACAGTATTTAAATACTATCCTCATACCCTTATGTTTTTTTCAATTTCTTGAAGTTGAGTAAGCAACTCTTGTCATCTTATATGAAAACAACGTTCAGTGGATCATTTGCAGCCTCTTGCTACTGGTGAGTATTCCTGCCAGCAAAGTCCAAGGCATGAATGTAGCAGCTTTAAATCGTGATGAATTTCTTAGTCTCCTCTTAGGTGTATGCTGCATCTTGCCAAAGGTGCATGTAAGTGAGGTGGCTGTTCTAAAACTTGTTGGTTATATGTATTTGTAAGGTGATGAAGCAGGAAAGTGGGTATTAGGGTATGACTCAAGGGGTTGGAAGGGTGTGTGAAGTCATGAGGGCTCATCCTTTGCAGGATAAAAAAGCCTGAACAACTGGGATCTTGCATAGGTTGTGCCCATGCAAGGGCAGGGCCCAATGTGAACTATTCTCTAGTCTCTGCCCATATTTCTCCACCTCAGAAACAATTTGTTTTGTTCCAGAGCAGAAGCTGAATATAAAGTTATACCAATGCAGTGGTTGCAGCAGCATACGGTGCTGTCTGAAATGGCTGCTTTGAAACTGGTAATTGCTTTCTGTTATTTGTTCTTAATATACTGAGAGAAACTAGATGTTGTGTACCTTTTTTGCAAATAAACAAGATTGCATCAAAGACATATTGATCCTATCAATTTCTCGTCCTGACATAATCTGCAGGGTCTCAAGTATAGGCTGGCTATTTTAAGCAGCAGACAGAACACTAATGGAAGCTAATTTAAATTTCGATTTGCAGCCCTCATTTAGAGGTGCATAAACTTCAAACACAAATGTCCTATATTTCAAATGTAAAGTTAAATAATAATTTGCTGGATGAGCTGCTGTCTGAAAATACACAACACACTCCCCTTTTGGAATGATACACAAAGATCTTCTCTGCTTTGAAATGATTCATAGCAGATGGGAAGAAAAAGGATCATTAATTGATTCTTCAAATAAAAGATTACAAGTGTAACTGAGAGATCCTGTTGGAAAATCAAATTAACTAAATTTCCAGAGAAGCTTGTGCTTTTCACAGAAGTCTGCTGGCAGAATTTCAAATCAGCTTGATGATTAAACAGCAGGTCATTTAAAGCGTGTTTACGTTAACAATCCTCTGTAACCATATTCATACTAGGGCAAGGCAAAGTGCACAAAGTGTTTGTTAGATTATAATTAGTTTAGATTACTTTCCATTATGTATTGGTAAAGGCAGCCCATGGGCTGGCTCATGTTTCAGGTTCCTCTGCTGCAGTAGCTCTGGGTAAGATATCTGCATGACAATATCTAAAGACCCTGCCCAGCAGTTTTAAGTACTGACCCTTGCACTTTTTTGGCCCATGATCCCGTACATGCCACCACCCATTCTTATTATCAAACTTTAAACTGAAAATAGGACAAAAGTGATATGAGCAATGCAAGGTTATATTTCATAAGAGTCTTTGGGCTCCTTGCAAGCAAGTCTCTAGATTATGCTGCATCAAACCATATTCTTACTAGTCTATCAGTGCCACTGGAGAAACAGACCTGTAATTCATAACACCAGAAATTGGTGTTAACTCCTTTGCAGTGTTCAAATCTGTTTATTACCCTTACCACCCATACTTTTTACAGGCTGTGAATTCTCATGTGTTCCATTTTAAAACCCCAGAAATGCTATTTTTTTACTTCTATTTCATTAATTCACTTGATATGTGTGAAGGCAAAGCAGTCACACTGGCACTTCTGAAGAATGTTTTAATCCTTTGTGTTATTACATAATTTCTTGATTCGTTTTTATCTGGTGTAGTTTAGCACACCAGTATGGACCCACCCACTGCATCTCAAATTGTAATCTCTCTGACACTTAAATGACATTTTTCCATTTTTTTGGATGATGAATAATTTACAATGTGGGCCTGTAAAGAATCTATGTTCGTATTTAAATATCTGCAAAATTTACAGATTCACTTTTTCATTTTGAAAGCTCTAAGATAATAGAAAATGTTTCACGTACGGCCTTCCTTCTTTTTCCATAAAGAGCTTTTGTTTTGCAGATTGCAAAAACACTTAATAAACTGTAGCTTGTAAGATATATAACTTTGTAAGGCAGTTCGTGGTTCCACTGTCAGAAATTAAGAATTAAATAGAAAAATTACGAATTAAATAGAAAAACTATGCTTAAGCCAAGCCTGTCTGTAATATTAAAAGGGATATATAGATATAGATATATATTCACCTATGACTATAGGTGGGGTCAGAGGAGTCTAAATCTTAAATCTAAGTCTGGGAAAACATTTGTGAATTTATTTATTTATTTATATGTATTATGAGTTCTAATGTTAGACTATTTTGTCTCACACTAGGAACAGAAAAAACTCGTTTAAGATTAAAAATTGAGATGTTAAGGTACAACTGAGAGAAACATCAACTATATGAATTAAAAAGAGCCAGTGAGAGGAGAGAAGGCATTAAAATTCCCATATTGCCAGAGGATGCAGTCAGACAAACCAAGGAAGCAAGTGCTACAAAGGTCAGCCCAGCTTCGAGTTATGGAGATGGGGGTCTGAGCTCAGGGAGGAAAAGATGCAGAGATAAAGGCATACTGTAGAAAAAGTGGAAGAAAATGAGGAATAGCCTGGAAGATGCAAAGAGGCTACTCTGTCCATCATGCAAGTAATCTAAAATGCAGGGCAATCTCTTTTTTTAAATCTTGTCTGGAACTACATTTTTCTTGCTTCATGTCTTCCTCTCAACATGCTTTTTTCCTTGCATGAGGTGTGGATTTTTGGGGAAGTAGAGCATATTCTTTACAATCAGTACCAAATATGAGGCTTAGAACCAGTCCCATTCCAGTCATCTCAGCAAAGATCAGCACAGCATTGCAGTCACCTGTATTCAACTAGTGCTCTGAGAACAGCATGTAGAAATGACTTAGAGGTTAATGACTTGGACCTTCATATGGCAACCAGGGAGCACAATTTCTAATGAATAAATACTCACCCTCCAAATATGGCTTTCTTGGAAATTGTTATTGTCTTGGTAATGAGATATTTTGAAAATCATCTGGGCCAAATTAATCAGATAGTGGTAACTGCTTAATTCCACTGAAGTGGTGCTGCACAAGTATTTACTGAATGAAGATGTCAACTATCAATTTTATGTTACTTATTAAAGCCAGACCCAAGATCTGTTTAGAACTTTCACCAAACTGTACTTCCTCACTGCCACTGTGATACAAAGAGAGTTTTTTTCCTTGAATATTTATATTTTCTTATTTTCTTGAATCTTTATATTATAAAGATTTATAATATAATGTCATTTCAATACAATATTGTTCCTTACAAATTGATTCATTATTCTGAACTACTGATCTGGCATAAGCTAAACTGTCCTCACTGCCTGATCACACAGCTCCCTACATAATTTTCATCTTTTTCCAGCTTTGAAGTTTCATCATCCTTGTCAAGATCTGGAAGTGCAGCTCAGGATATGGTAGTGCCCACAAATCAGTAGTGGGTAAGTGCCATCTTAATGTCTCAGACAGCAATGTATTTTAATACTTAGCCATTTAATTCAGTATGTAAAACTCAAGCTACACACGAAATACATTGAACCTTCATGAAAACTCTAAAAAGAAAAGTGTTTATTGTGCTTCTAATGTGGAAGCAGATATTTAAGAAAATGCTCCTCAAGAACAAACTTGATGCTTCAGTGCTGTGAAGCTTTACTATATTGATAGTTGGTGTTGAAAGTCAGGAAGTCTGATGTGAGCAGCATGACTTAGAACAAGGTCTTTTTTCAGACTGGGTGCTTTAAGTATGAAATTTGTCATTATGCAGCCAGTCAATGACTTGACTTTCAAACGCTGTTTACACAGGATTCTATCTGGTCTGCTTTAAATGTTCATTCCATTAAAGAGAACACACTGGAAAGCCAGATCTTAGGAGCTCTTTGGGGGGACACCACATAGGATACCTTCAGGCACAACAGCCGTCTTATAAGCTCTGTCAGCCTCTTCTCTTAAGGCCTTTTTAACACCCTGCATGTTATCTTGTGTCATGATCCAACATACCCCCATGAGGTAACTGATACTATCATTATCTGAAACTGTCTCAGAACAGAGTAAAGGAATTAAGAAACCTCTGCCAAGGCACAGATCCTGCTAACTGATTAACCACTGTCTCACACTGTTTACTTAGGGTGGGGCATGAGGCCCCTATGAAGTCAGTCTGTGCATTTTATTAGGCATCCTAAAAGAAAAAAACAGAAAAGATGCTTTAAGATCCTAATAACCTCCATACTTTTCCCCAGTCATTCCAAACATGCCATGGTCATGACAGCTCCAAGGATTTTTCAGGAAGTTCTAGAGATAGTTGGAGAATTTAAACCTGACTATTTCTCTAGCTTAGAGAAATAGCATACTGCATTTCCAACTGTTTGTGGGCAAGTCATATAGCAAAAGTTGGGTTTTACTGTGAGCATCTCACTGGTTTTATTGTCTATCCAATATTAATTTAGTAATTAATAAACAAAATAACAGCACAATCTATTACAGATATTGTATGGCAAATACAGTGATCTAAAGTTAAAACTCAGAACATTAATCAAATTGAGTTTTTCCTGTTATATAAAATTGCTATATAAAATTGCCCCGGGAAGGTGAGTCTTGTCTCACTGTGCTTATACAAAGTTAATGTTTAAATTATTCACTTTCTAACCAGTCATCATCAATAGTATATGTTTATTCACAAGTAGGAGCAACAGGCCCAAGTGCTTCTGTATGGTATCTACAGCTGACATTTCAGCATTACTGATATTCAAAGTCCTGTTGCTTGTTAGCCACTTGCTGTCAAATGAACTAAAAACTTTTAGGGGCCTAAATGTTTGCTGATAAAATCTCCTAGGTACTGTCATTTCTGCTGCTGGGCACACACTTTATAAGAGGACAATCAGGCTTTCTCAACGTTGGAACAGGGCATTTGTGACAAAATACTTAGCTAAAGACAGCTTTTGTTACAGACTAATTTTCTGGACTTCAGACTGTCTTTCAAGTCCAAGTAAACTAGTAGTTCATCAGTAGCAGGCCATCAATTCTGCAGACAATTTAGATGGTTTTAAAGATCCTCAGAAATAAAGAAGTATTATGTGAAAGAATCTAATTAACACATCTGGAATGTTTTATTAGGATCATTGTATTTAGTTTGAAATGTCTTGCATTAATCATTCCAGACATGTTAGAAATTCTCTTTACAGTAAGAATAGGGTATCTTAAATTGATACTTATAGGCCTGAATTAGTGCTCAGTGACATCTCCATATCCAACTTCTTGTTATCTTTAAAGTGTGTGTTTGGAATTGTTCATGATTTTGTAATGAAGACTATTTTTGTACAGCATACAGAGTGATAATGTAAAAGCAGCAAACAAGATCTAGAAAGTAGTAAGTTGGAGTTCAGAAAAAAGACTGTTTTCTTTTGGCTGACAATGTTATATAAAGATTTCAGAATTAAGAATAGAGACAAAGTTTACTTTAAATTTCAGTGCACCCAACTTAACATTTCAGAGCTCTGCAAACTCTGGGAAACATTTTGGACAGACTAGGATAAAAGTATCATTTCAGTCAAAACATATCACTACTCTTCAAGTTAAATACAGAATGATTGCTCAGAGGTATAAATTTTCACACTATTCCACTCCACTCTCCAGTCGTGAGAGTGAAACTTTGTATTATCATAGTTACAGAACAAAAAACTGAGGACCTTTAACAGAAAAGTTAACTTTTGCTAGAAGGATGTAACATCTCATTATATATTAATTTAGCAACAACTTTTAAAAAGAGCAGCACAGCTTCTCTCATATTTATTATTTCTTTTGAATGACATCAAGAATGGCTTGTTCTGATTTAAAGAAAAACTTAGAAGTTGGTAATTGAATTAACTGGAGGATAGTTCAGTTTCTTTACTTGAAAGTAACCAAGGTTAATATCATATGCAGCCAAGTTATTATTTTAGCCAGACTTAACTCTTACTTTTTCCTAATAGTGATGTAATAAATCCTTTTTAGTTATTAGTATTTCAGGTTGAGAGAAAAACTCTTTGGAAACTTTGTCTGGGTTACAGAAAAATGACATTTTAAATCTTCAAAAGAATAAAAAAGAGGCAGTTATTGATTGTAATTAGGAAACTTATTTCTGTACCTAGACCAGATTGTGTGACAAGTGACTTAAACATCTCTATGTGTGCTTTCCCAGTGGAAGACTAGCCACAGGAGTATTAATTCTGCATAATTAATATTTGAAAACCATAATACATGTGAAATGAATTACAGGGAGACTTTCTGAATATAGTTCTCTCTTTACCACAAGGCTGCCTTGCTAATTGCCTAAAAGTTTTTGATCAGAGAAGTGATATTATAGATTATACCCTGGTAGGTTAATCCACTTGTGCTTTTGCAATTTTAAATTTACAATGACTTTTGGAAAACTGCATACTCTAGAAAATTAATATTTATCAGGGAGGAAATAAATGTTTTTTACATTATAGGGCAGCAAAATTTTGTGCTTTATCCCAAATAATAAAATGCATGTCTCCAGCTAATTTATTGAAAGATTCAATAGCATATAGTCATAGAATGTCAGTAAAATAGCCTTTTGAATTTGATCTCCCTTTTGAGCTACAACTTAGAATTTCCCAGTGATAATAACTTTGGTGGAATACAAGGAGGAAATGTAAGCTAAGTTCTCCAGAAAATCAGAATTTATAAGGGGGGGTGGGGCGGGGGGGAGGTCCTTTGTGTTTAACTTTATAATTATCTTTCTGTTAAGGTGGAAAATATGCTTTGGACAGGAGGGTTGAAATCTCTCCTTCCCCATGTGCTAAGAAGAATCATTAGATGCAACAGACTCAGTATTAGTAATACTTCTGGAATGGCAGAAGGTAAGTAAACCTAACAGCTCTCTGTGCAAAGTGATTCTATTTTAGATTCATAACTACGTTGTTTTTGTTTGTAAAGGATTGAAGAAATATCAAAAGCACCAAAGTAAAACAGAAGAAAATGTTATGTTCTTGGGTGTTTTTGAAATCATACTGTAAGCACCTGACTCTGGTTTTTAAATTGTAAAGATATATCAGAGGAAATGCACTATCCTACCTGAGTAATGTACATGGACTTTGTTTTCAGTGTCTGCAGTGCATCCCTCAGCTTCCAATTGTCATTGAGAAATGATGGATGTAGAAAATATTTGAAAAATCTTTAACCAAATCTGGGTTTTCTTGCATGTTATTATCACATTTGTAAGATGTTCTTCACTATGTTCTTCACAGAGACCTTGCTTTACTTAGCACATTAGATATGCTTTGGGAAGAATTATTGTTACAGGAGTGGTTTTCTGCTTCATTTTTTGCAGAAGGTGAAGATTACTGGATCAGCAAGGCTGAGAATTATAAGGGGGAGGGAAAAATTATTTTTATACTCAGATAACAGAATGCATTCCGGAAAATTGATTCCTGTCTTGACTTTCATAGCTGGACTTTTACAGAAGCAGAGAAGTCTGTCATTGTTCTGATCAACTTTCAAAAATAACATAAACAAAAATACCATGGCAAATACCTGATCAACAAAGCTGTGTGTACAATAGTAGTAATACTATAAAATATGTTAAAGGTCATATTTTAGAACTGTAGTGAGTCTTGAAATTGTAGTTTTCTTTTCTATCAGTTCCTAAGTTGAAAAATACTAATGGAAGACATTTTATAATGTTTATAATTTGCAGTTTGCCCCAGTGAAATTTTTAAAGTGAATTTTTTGCTTCAGTAGTTTTAAATGTATTAGTTCTAACATTTTTAGAAGTATTGTTGACATATAAAACAAGTTGATGAACAAACAGTTTCTTTATACAAAAAGAACCATTGTAACAAATTGTCTTATGTTGTTGTTAACAAATTCTTTCTTACTGCCCTCATTGTAATTCACCATAGAAGTTAAAAGCTCTTTCTAAACTTCTCTGAACTTGGACATAAGTGTGTTGCATTACTGCCTGGGTTGGTCAACACATCCAACTCCACTCCCATTGCTTGTGAATACATTCATAATGATGGCTCCATAATGCAAGTGAGTCCATCAGGAGATATGGGTTGTGTACAAAAAGTAAGGATAGCTATCAGGAGGAGCAATAAAGTTCTCAAAGTATTACAATGAAGCTGCCTGAGTTTATCAAGTATTTGCCTGAAGATTCAGCCTCTCATCTGTAACTAGTATGTGAAATTCAGTGTTGTCAGTTGAGTACCCTGACTAAACCCATGATTTTAAGAACTCATTAATATAACCAGCAAAGCAGAAAGTGCCTGTGGATTTCTCATGGATGGCAGGGAATGAAATTGAGGGGTAACCAAACTTAATGTTTTATTCAGTGGTTAATGTAGTATGTTTATTTAGCAAAAATATTTTTCTGTATTTAGCAAGAATCTTGTTCTGTATTTAGTAACTTTTGCTAGTAATAAAATGAATTTTTGTACTGACTACTCCCAAGGGAGCAGTTTGTGGACAAATTCAGTATGCAAATGCATGCTTACCTCAGCCTTTGCTTTGCATTTTTCCATCAGGAATAGAATGCTCTTTGGATGTCTTTGTTAGCTTTAGTCAAGAGTAAGGTTTGGCTCATTTTCTACAGCCTTTGAAAGCAGGTCATTGATTTCAACTAAATTATTGCCTCTTTGATGACAGACTACTGCAGTATTTAAGAAAGTGAGTGCTTCTGTGCAGCCTCCTACTCACCTGCCTGATATCAGACAGTAATAACTCTTCAAGAGAGAATTGGTACAGAATTTAGGGATTGTTAATTGCTGGATTTATACACCCCAGACCTGTTGTACTCCAGATTTCCCCCCATTATTTGAACAGTTGATATTTCCATGCAGGAGAGTTTAAATGGCATTGGTATTAACTACTACTGTTAAGAAAATAAATTTTTGCTCAATGGGACCTTTCTTCAGTGGTACTGATTGCAAAAAATGTTAATGCCTTTAGAAGCTATTTCATAGTAGTAATCAAGAACCTTCTAAATCAAAGTTGTTTCCAAGTGAAGAAAGTGTAGCAGTTCTGTTTTAGTTTGGGGTTTTTTAAATAAGTTAAATCAGGACTTCAATTAGAAATTACTGAGATTCAGTGGACAGTCAAGAGTTTATTCCTGAGCTGTAATCATATCTGTTTAATTGAAGCCCACATTAAAATTCCCTAGCCAAGAAATTTTAAAGAATGTGCTACAACATCAAGATACCAGGAGTTTACTTTTGGGTTGATTTATATCATGGTGTGGTGAAAAATAATTGTGAAAGTGTGGTGTGTGATAGCCTTTCTTTGGCTCTGAGTTAGCATTTTCCAATAAAGCATATTCCTATATTCTAATGTCCACAGTTAGAAAGGAAATTATGTTTATATATAAATGAATAGAAATGTTTTTTAATTGTGGTGTCTTCATATTCTGCTACTACCCATGTTTGCCAACTGTTTTAGCTGTGAATGACTTCTCATATAGAGTAGGCCTAGCTATGATTTTTAAAGCATTTCAAGAAGTTTGATCTAATTACGAAGTTCTGAATCAAAAATTTCCTTTAGGTAATTCATAAATCATCTAAAGAAATTCATACAGAAAAGTTATTGTTTCACAAACAAAAAGCTGAATTAATAACCAGCTATTCCTACCCTTTAAGGCTATAAACAGGCCAATATTGTGATTTTGCACAAGTCCCTGGCTGATGACTTTGAGAAGTTCTGTCATGCAAACGATGGACCCCTGCCACTGCTGTACAGAAGTCAACCAGGTGACTGGAAATGTCCTTCCCTGAGAAGTGATTCTGGTATCAGGTAACTACAGAGCAACTCTTCTGGCCAATATTCTGAAGTGAATGCTGGTGGTGATTAGGACAATTTGAGGAAACAGCCTGGTTACACTGTTGAAGAGTTTGAACAATATTCTTTTCTTGGAGTTACACTTTTGAGTGAAAACCATGTATAATAGCCTGATTATCTTATTCTTGAGCTACATATTATGATAATTGTCAGTATTACAAGTTATTTCTCTAATCCAAAGGTGAAATTTTGTGTAATTTTAAAATATTTTGCAGTCTGAGCCTGCAGAATTCAATAATAGGGTTTTATATCTGTTTTATTTACTAGAAACATGGTCATGGTGTCTGCATGATACTTGTAGAGTCTCTGAAATTTGAAATATGTACTCCTATGGTAAACACTAAAAACAAGTTTAAACCAGCTCCCTAATTTTTGAAAGCCTGAGACAAGATATGCATAAGGGGCCTTTACCTATAAAACCTAAAAAATCTCAAACTCTAACATTCTGTCTGTCAGCTTGGTTTTATGCAGAATAAGATGTTCTGGGGGTTTTGCCTGTGTTTCTTTCGTTATTAGTCAGAAAGAACAAAATGGATAAAGCAGGCTGTATTGTGTGGTTTCACACTGGGTTTATGTCAATTCAACCAATTCACCTCGTTTTTAAAAAATGTGACAAAGCTGTGATAACTTCTTATTTCACTAGACCTGACTGCCTACAGTACAGAAAATATGAGCATGGAGCTTGTACTGGATCACTGAAAAGCCTTAAGGAGTATTCTGAACAACTCAAGGACATGGTGACTTTTTATTTAGGCTGCAGCTTCTCTTCTGAAAAAGCAATCCTAAAAGCTGGCATTCCTATCAGAAACATTGAGCAAAAATGTAATGCAAGCATGTACAAAGTAAGTATATGCACACACACACATAATCTTTGTTGCAATTTTGCCTGTGAGTTTTGCCCATATTCAGATTAGGTGCATATACCTATTGTTCAAATCAGAACTTTTTTTCTCTACCTACGCAGTAACTTAAGGCATGTGCTAGTGCTGAAAATACAGGGTAAAACATTCCCAGCCTCAGTTCAGTGTAAGGCCAATCTCCTTTTTTATTCATTTTTCATGACAAAGCTTTCCCTGTTTCCTGTGGCAGCCATTTCATGTGGATTCTGTTCTGGTTTGCTCTCTCTGTTTCACCCAGTGATCCATGCACTGTTCTGACCATGTCTTTAGGTGTGTCCCGCTCTCCATACCAGCTCCTGTTTGCAGTTGGAGTATTCATTTTATAAACCATGACAATTGTGGTTTCTTTTGTGTGACAGCCACATTCTGGATTTTTCCTGTGACAGTAGAGCCTTTAAACTGCACATTTACTACACACCCAGGCCTCTGGGCCACAAGATGTTCCCAAAGACTTGAGGTGTCTACCATAGTACTGAAAATTATGACTGTGCTCAAAAAGTTTGTGGTATACATTTTAATGGTAACAGAAGACTTAGAATAATTCTGTCTCCAGTAAATAAACCCTTTAATACTAAGAACATTGAAGTATGCATCTGCATGCCTTTTTCATTTAGTTCAGATGCTGTGCTACTGGAGAAAGGTTATTGTTATTTTCAGTGTTATCAGTACACAATCTATGCTATGCTCCTGGTCAAAACAAAAGTGCAAGCATATCTCATATGTGAGTCTTTCTACCAAGCTTAAAGAAAAAAAAAATACAACTATGTATCTGCTTCTAGAATTTCAGAATTAGGAATATTTTATAGTTTAGAGCACATTAATGCTGTGAAGAACTGCACACTGTTTCTTCAGTGACAGGTGTGATTATTATTATCATTATAAAGGCTTTAAATGAATGTTTTGTCAACAGCTCCAGCTCTCTGGATGTCTTGTTTATGTTCAACTGCAACTCAGAAATCTGACATTTTTTCCTAAAAAGCTGACCTGCTTGCTTTCTAAATAGAAAAGGTGCCTCAGCCTCCCAGTTGGTGAGGATGATGAATTCCACAGAGCCTTTGTAGAGGCATGAACTATTTGTATGTATGGAACTGTCATGCAGTTTCTGTACAAGAGGGTACTGCCATCAGCAGTTGCTGACCCTGCCAAGTTACTGGGCTCTGTAGTCAACTACAGAGGGTAGAGTCAGACTAAGTAGATTTGTAGGTGTGCCATAATTTTCTAGTAGCTTTTTCACCTTCTGTAGGGGGGACACCATTGTTCTCAGCTAATATTCAACATACTGAGCTCATCTTGTTGTGTGCATCAAAACAAGGAATGCATTAAGTTGAAAATTTTAGTGATCTATATGATGCAGCTAAATGATGGAATCTTAAAGGAAAAAAATACTTTATCCCAAGAATTTTTTTTCAAAAGGATTTAAAATGAGTGTTAGAATGCAGTCTTTCTAAACTCAAGCGCAGCACAAAGATTTAGTTTTATTTATTCTGACATTTTAAAAGCATTGTTCAATATTCCTGCTAACACTGGATTCTTTTGAACTGCCAGACATCTGTGCCTTGCAACAGCATTTCTATGTTTCACTGCAACTTAGTAGTCACAATGAGACCCATTCCTGAAAGCAAGTTGGGAGCAGCTGTGCTAGCAACATCTGGATTAAAAGAAGCCCATGGAGCACCAATTCACATAGGTGACCCTGGTCAGTGCTTTTCATTTCTCATTCTGCATGCACCTGACTTTATACAAGTGAGGGGGGAAAGCATGGGAAGTGGTAGGACTGAAATACCTGCACCTCTTAATCTGTTTTAATTCTTTCTAATGGTCACAAACCTGAATAGAAAAGGAAAAAGGAAGAAAGAAAAAAAGAAAAAAGAAGGTTTTGAGTGAGCTGAACACACAGATTTCTTAGATAAAAGGTAGTTGTCAGATGTAGATAAGTTATCTGGCAGGGCTGGTTTTGGTTAGAAGTATAATCACATTTTTCTGAAATGTGTGCAGTTTCATTTATATGTGAATACTTTCTTGTTGTCAGAGATTCCAGTGACAGGATAGCAATGACTGACAGCATGGGGAGAAGTATGTGTGGAGGCATCTTGTGTCTTAGTGGTTGAATGTGAAAGTAAATACTGCATTATTTTAAAAAATACTGAAATAGCATACAATGAGCAAAACACTTAAGACAAAATGAATAGAAATATGACAAGATTTTTTTTTAAATCTAGTTTGAACAAAAATGAAAAAGTTAAGAGAGGAGGCTGTTTGAAAAAGAACAAAACCAAACAAACACCTGTAATATGAAGATAGATTGCAATAATTTCCCCCCTGCTGTCAGAAGTTTGGTAATCATTGGCTACACACACACAAGGATCACACTGCAGGCCATGGAAGGAGATGTCATTGGTTAACACAACACTCTAGTAATGTACTTGAGTAACAAATCTGAGTACCTAAGCCTGACAAACTAGTAATAAGTCATTACAAAACAGTAAATTAACATATATACAGATTATATAAACTAATTTCAGAAAAGAGAGTGGTATGTTAAAGCATCTGAAGAATTTAAAACCAAGAGAAGATAGCAAGTGTTTAGAATGACCCAGATTATTACAAGTAGGTGTTAGAATAAAGCAAAAGACAATTTAATGAAAGGCAGCTAAGAGTGAGATGTATTTATCTAAGACAGAGAGGAAAAGAGAGATTGATCATTTCTCTAGCAAAAGAATGTAGGAAGTTAACACAGTAGAAAATGTGTTCTAGAAAGAACTCATTTTGCATTGAAATAATTTATTCTTGTTTGCCAGTGCTATGAATAGAGTTCTTCTGTTGAACCAGAAGATTTATATTATCTTGGAAACTCAGCATAGATGCCTAAACTGCATTTTGTTGCAGAAATAAGGTAAATACATTCTTACCGGTGTTATCAAGTACAAAAAAAGGGAAATCAAGTCAGCTCAGGCTCTGAGGATGTGCACTCAAAGGCAAACTAAATGCTCCACTTTAGGGGGACTTGACACTCTTGAACTCTCAACTCAGTGTCATTGAATGATGTTTGGGGTCCACCCCCCAGCTTTGCTATGTTACTGCTTAATTAGAATCGCTCATGATTTCATTTTTGATCAATTCCAGGTCTGCTGGGAATACAAGATCTTTCTAAACCAGACTATGGAGATCCAGTTCACCTTCACCCTGGTGATGTTCCAGTGTTTTGGGCCTCAGGAGTAACAGGAGTAGAAGCAATTATCAACAGCCGTATGTGCTGCTGGGAGACTCTCTTTAAATTATCCCTCAATCTCTTCTCTCTCTCTCTCTCTTTTTAAAAAGGATACTCAATTGGCTGATTAGAAGTCTTGATTTTAGGGGAAGATAAAAAACACCCCAAACAACAAAAAACCTTTGGCAGAAGAGTTTTTGTTGTGAAATACAGGTCTACTTTAAAGAAAATTCCTACAGAAATTTCATCACTTTTGTGTATTTTAAATGTTTAAATCTACAGTTCTGGCAGCATCAAAACATCTTTTTTAGCATTATAAAAAACAAGAAGTTTAAAGGCATTAATTTTTAAGCTTCTTCCTTTTAAAATATTATTTTGTACTACATTTAAGTAAAGCAATAGTAAAGAAAAAAGAAAAAATAAAAAGAAGGAATAAAAAGAGAGAAGCCAGAAATCTTTCCAAAATGTTGTCAAGAGCTAGCAAATTGATTGACGTGGAAAAGGGTTCTGAAGCGTCTCATGGAGAATGTTGAGCTTTTAGTTTTCTCCAAAATTAAATAAATGTGACACATTTTACATAAGTGAAACTTTTTTTCCTGTACAGTTTTTCTGCACTGTGTGCAGTCATTTATGCATGTATGAGCACCAAGGGCAAGAAAATGCAACAAAACCATAGTAACAGTATTAAACACTTCTCTAAGCCACTAGTGTGAAATGAAATACTGTAAAGAAGCTTAAAAATCATAGGCAATGTATTTGGGAGAACCCTGGGAGGTCATCTGCTTTGTCCTTCTCTCCCTGCAAGAATCCTTGTGGTTTCTTATAGATATTTATCTGAACTTCTCCCAACACCTGCTCTAATATGTTCAGCTCTAAGAAGAGTCTTCTTGCTCTTTCTTACATACAATCTCTTTTTTCCAGTCCCAAATTCATGCTGAAAATCCTACTCTTTCCTGGGTTCTTCAGCAAACCTATTCATCTTCCTTATGCATCCTTGTTGTAGGGAAAAGAGAGAAAAAATTTGCCAATGTCTCTCCTATCTATTCCACATGTGGCTGTCTATCCTGCCCTTGCCTGCCACAGACTTTTCACTTTCGTTTATTTCTCCATTTTCTATATTAAAACCAATTGTCATTAGTACATTCCAGGAAATTTTTGGATAGATTTTATCTTGCTGTGCTACTTTCTCAGCTAGGACATTTAAAATCTGCCACACCACCTTTACCCATACTTTAGATGAATCTGCTACCTGGTCACAAAAAACTGTCTGCTCACAGTGTTTGGTGAGGTAGAGTAAACTTCAACAACCATGTTCCCCAGGTGCTTTAAACTGCTGGCCATAGAGTCCCAACAGATGTAGCTCCAACCAAGCACATATGTACTTAGTAAAGAAACATCTTCTCCACTTTCACCCTCCTAACAAAGAAAGTTTTGCTTGTTTAAGTCTACCAGTTATGATTTACCTAACAATGTACCAATTTTGCCAAGTCAAGTGTTACCTAGATTCAGACTTTTGGAGCCAGTATAAAGACAGGAAATATTTTCAGTTTAGGAAGGTACTATGCTATGTCAGGTCTAAAGAAGCTTATTTTTCTCCAGGGTTTTAGAGGCTACTCGTATTTCCTTTGCTAATGCTCACTGGTCCACTTTTGTCATTGCTCCTTGCCAGTTTAAATTGCCATGGTGTAACCCCAGACATGGATCAGGGGGAGAATTGGAAAAGTAAGAACTAGAAAACTCATGCATTGAGATAAAGACAGTTTTGTAGGGGAAGCAAAAACCATGCATGCAAAGAGAGCAAAATAGGGAATTAATTCACTGCTTCCCATGGGCAGGCAGGTGTTCAGCCAACTCCAGGAGACCAGGGCCCCATCACAGGTCATGGTGACTTGGAAAACAAATGCCATCACAACAGACCTTTTGGAAGGGTACCAGAGTTCCATTCTTAGGTTGCTTCAAGTTTAGACCAAAGAGGACATTGTGGAAAAAACTGATCTCAACCCACATGAGCTTTTTAAAAGTGAAAAAAATTTCAGATGTACATGTGTACATTTCTTTCTCAAAGTGTATTAATTGCTCCAATGTTACTTAAAATATAACCTGTTTTTGTAAGTGTCATCAGGCAGGGACTCTGTTGTTACATTAAGTGTCTTTTTGAAATTTTATCATGCCTATAATTTGTTACATTGCAATAATAACATTTAACTGAAGTTTTTCATTCATTTTAGGAGCTCCGTTGGCTTTTACCAATTCTCCTGACTGCACGTTCATTACCGACCTAGAGAAAGGAAATGTCAGATCCTCAGGAGAAGCCCCACAGGTCCACTGCATCTCTCGAGATCCTCTGCATTTCAGCATTGTGTCAGCAGAAGCAGCCCAAAAGATAAATACTCTAGAGACCCTAATTGGAATAGATCCAGGTATAAACAAAACCTGTCTCCCTTTAATGAGTTTGATATGGGGTAGATACCACCTATCTGGCCTTTTTAGATATTTTAAATTCAAGAACACAGTAAGAATCTAAAGAGGATTTTAAGAATTCTTTATGGAATACAGTGAGTTTATATAACTAGGTCTTATACTTTCTGTTACTGTAGTTAATATCAGAGTCTGGCCAAATTAATCCATTGTGGACAATGGAGTGTCGGATCTTGATGACTGTATGCTCCCAAAGTACACAGAAGCAGGCTGGAGAGTCCACAGGGAATAAGAACTGAGCAAAACTGAAATTGGTATGTGAAGAACAGAGTGCCTCAGCTTGCTGGTAACAGCTACATGGGTGTTCCCTGTGGAGTAAATAGCACATTTCTTTACATATATTCATGCCTACTGTGCTCCTACCAGAGAATTCCAGTAGTTGCATGTGTTTTTCAGACACCACTCTCTGACAGTGGAATTATATTAATTTCTGCTGACATATCCATCACTGAGGTGTTGTATGATGGACCAAAGTGACCAGGTCACCACAGAAGGTTGAGTGGCGGGGCTGTCTGTGTGTGCAAGGAAGGGAGGGAAGTAAAGGCACACTGAGTAGTGCAACCATTCCTAAAATACACACTGAGCTAGTCCCCTCTGGCTGCTGTAAAGTCTGAGCTCAGTGTGCCATAAATTTTCTGAAATCCTCTGTAGGCAGTAGTGGAAAACAGCTTACACCCAGTACTCCCAAGCTCTGGGTTTGGGCTGTGTGCATACATTTGGGTCTGTTTATTTTTACTCACAAGGCCTCTCCTTTCCCACTCTCTGGAGCTGGCTTGGCATGATGCCATGCTCTGCAGAAATACAGTTCCTAACTTAAAAGTTAGCTCATTTTATTGCTAAGGGAGAGTACAGTACTTTGTCTCAGTTAATATACCCCACTTCACAGAGACTTGTATTCTGCTTATGTTAACTTTAAGTTTTCTGAACTTTTTTCTCTGTCACATTATCTGTGTATTGCCTGTGTGTTATTTAGGAGAAACAGAAGGAGAAATGCCAAAGGGGAAATCGAGGACAAAAAGAGGGAAATGTGGGGGTCAGGGGAGCAAGAAGGATGAATCTGTGAGGAGACTGGAAAATACCAGTGAAGGCTTACCTCTATAAGCCCATCATGCTGGTACTCATGGTTTTCTTGAGTACTAGCAAGGAAGGAACATGGGGTAGGAAGTGTTAGAACAGTGAAAGCCATACCCAGATAATAGTGTTCCCTATTTAGGGACTGACCCATGAGAAGAGACTTCTGTTAATATTCACCTATTTCTCAAGGTCTGATAATGTGGTTCTCTGCTCACTCTGTAATGAAGTGTTACAAGAACTTCTAGTAGTCACCTGGATACCACTGTATTAACTGAGTTTATGAAGTCCCCAGGAAACTTACAATGTCTCTGAAACCTCACTTCTGAGGTTAATAATTTCATTAAGTGCAATTGATTTGGGAATTAGCTCTTCCCGAAGGGGACAGAGTTAAATAGAGACAAAGGATCAGTTCATACATCTGAAGTCTGCATCAGAACTTCTGTAAGGGATGGGATGCTTGAGTTGCAATCCAGCTTCAGTAGCTAAATATGATCTAGCAGGACTGTCAAAGGAAAACAGAGGGCCTAAGGAAGGGAAACAATGTGCAATAAGCTCTCAGAAAAAGCTATGTACACTTATACCTAGAAAAGCTAGGTATAACAATTTTCAAAAGCTGACATTCTTAACCTGGAAGCACGGCCCATTATCTTCATTACTCATATCCTAGATCTCTTAGGTTTCCTGAGGAAATTACCCCAATTCCTGCCTTGACCAGAGGCTTCTCTCTTTTACTTTTTTAACCCATTTTATGTCACTAAAGTACGTACTTTCACCCAGAGGGCAACTTCAAAAGGAGAGTGACCCGTTGAAGTGCAGTGCTCTCTTTACACCCTCCTGTGCAGGCGAGCGGGGAATCGGGCACCTGCGGCGGCCGGGAGAGCTGCTGGGGGCCTGCCTGGCCATGTCCGCGGCGGGCTCGGTGCTGCTGAGCACGGGGTTCCCCACGCACTACAGCCAGCAGCCCCCCGAGGAGAACGACGGGCCCCCGGGGGCCCTCGCCATCGCGGCCATGCTGCAGGCCCTGCAGAAACGGGTTGCCATAGTTACCGACCACAGAGCCATGGAGCTGAATAAAAAGATTATCGAAGAAGCTGTTCAGCTAGGTAAGAGACAGAGGTTTTTCAGTTTTTGATCTTGCTAATCTCAGCCAAGGTTTGGTTCAGTTTTAATCTGTCACTTAGTCCAGGACACTTTTTTTCCCCCAGAGAATGAATCAGAATTCATCCTCTAAGCTCTGCTCATCATTGCTATGAGGACATTTTGTTAACCTAGCTGGCATCAAGTTAATGTGTACAAAGCTGACTACTGATTCTGGATGTGATAAATTGAGGATGTCTGTTCTTATTCTTGTAAACCTCTTTTCTACTTCAAGGTCCCATTTAACAGCATTTACATCTAAACAAGTTTAAATTAAAGTAAGGATATAGGGAGCTCATCAAGAACTGTGTAAAGACCTTGAATTCTTACTGTTCTAGCAATTTTGCTTTCCTTTTTTTTTAAGTTGCTCAAAGATACGTTAAAAAAATATGTAGTATCTGAATTTCATTTTGCTTTCCTGTAGGAATCCTGAAGAAGCCCATCCCTCTACTGAGTTATCAAAAGGAAAATGCCAATTCAGCTTTGAAGTTTTTGTGTGAGAATGGGAATCCTGGAAGACCTAGGTATGTGCATTCAGTTTTTGAGAATGGGTCACGCCTCTACTATGCAAAATTATAATAAAAATAAGGACCATGGGCTAAGAAGGCACAATGGCTGCAAGTAAATCCTTAAGACCGACTGCACAGAACAAACTTTGAATCCAAACACTGTTATTGGAGCATACACTGAGTACAGAATTCCACATTACTCTGCAATTATGCACTTCTGGAGTACAAAAAATAAACAATTCTTCATATATCAATAGTTATTTTCTTTCAGAAAGTTTCTAAAATATTTTCAGCTGTTATTAATAAATATATATGCACACACTATATATTATTTTACCATTTTTTAAATCAGTGAGATCATCAAAAATTATCATATCAAAGTCAGTAAAAGAGCTAAGGAAAGTGCTGTGGAATGTGTGCATTTTCTAGAGCTTTAGCTCTAGTCTAACAGCTAGGGAATCTGATCTGACTTAATAAAATGTCATGTGTTTGTAATGGTGTGATTAAGGTAAATGCACTGGAGAATTTGCCAAGTAGCTGCATGATCATTTCATTAGCATGCAACTTATATGTCCTTGAAGTAGGTTTACATTGCTCATTTTTATTGATCTTTCCTTGTAAAGTACTTTAATATAGTTGCCCTCAGTTTGCATTCTTTAATGAAAAGGTCTTTCACCCTGGTATTTGCTTCATTAACTTATTGAATTCCCATCTCTTTCCACAGGTTAGTGGGTACTATAACAGTATGCATGATACTGTCTTTATTTTTCATGTGTTGTTTTAAAAATGTCTTTTATAGCTAAGCTTAAATATAGTACAGGCATATTATATTTAAATTGGTCCCTTAGTCCCAAAAGGCTGAAGTAAGTATTTTTTTTAAGTAGACAAGTTACCTGCTAAAGGTCTCTGGAATCCCTGTAGATACCCACCCACAAGAACATTAAGTAATTCAGCAGAATTAGTAACCTCTTAACAGTAAAATCAGAGAAACAGAAGGAAAATAACTTAATTCTAACATACAGTGGCAGAACTGAGTACTATAGTTCTTCTTAAAATGTAGGACAGCTGCAGTACATCTGTCTACTTTCATAACCACCAAAACAGCCATGGACTTAAAATAAATCCTCCGAATCTAAAGACTCAAACATTGCCTAACTAGAAACAGATGAATATTTGCCAAGAAATGTACTTTAAGCAGAGAATATATTTGCACTAATAAGGATTTAGATGATCATTAATTTTCCACTTTTTTGCTTTCTTTGAATGCACTTACAGAGACTAATATTGTAGAAGATACTGTCTGCTTTAATGTGAAACAGAGCCAGGCCAGATGGCTGACCCAAAGGATTGCTGGCTAGGAGGATTGCAGGAACTTCTCAATTTCTTGGTAGCAAATGTGGTTTGGGGGAGCTTCAGCAAAGCTATTTAAAAAACCCTAAATTAACCTTTGGGGAAAAAACACATAGACAAATACATTCAGAAATAACAAAACAGTGTCCAAGTTTTACCTTGAATCCCAGATGGTCAAAAAGTAGAACCAAGCACAAGCAGCCAACAGAAGTATTTGTCATGTGAAAATCACAGCTTTGACTTCTTCCCTCTGTTTTTTCACTCACCTCTAACCAGATTTGATCACCTGGTAGCAATAGAGCGTGCTGGGATGGCTGCTGATGGCAATTATTACAATGCCAGGAAAGTTAACATTAAACATCTCGTGGATCCCATAGATGAACTATTTTTAGCTGCACAAACCATTCCAGGAATCACAACAACAGGTAAGTGTGAGTTTGTGTGATGTTCTCAGAAGCAAGAGAAGCACAGAGCAGGAACTCCCACTGGTATTGAAGAGGAGCAGGAGGCAGGTGCTGAGTGGCTGCTTTCAGGCTACAGCTGTTTGTTGGGACTGGATTTGAAGACTGTTGCTGGAGAAAAATTACAGGTTTCTATTGAAGGATTCTCACAGCCAGAAAAAAAAAAAGGATTTTATTTCAAAGTTATTTAAGGACAAAAAAGAAAAAAAAGCAAGCCCAGATGTATTACCTATACACAAGTCTATGTACATACACTCTAAGTGCAGTTTTTGATAGTGACTTTATTCTGTATTTTTTGTGTTGAAGGCAACATAGAACATAAATGGTTGTTGGATGGTAACATTCTTTTTTAAAGTATTGGTTTTATGATTGTTGCACCCAAGTTAAAACAGCAGTCTGGATAGAGTCTTTGTTTATATTGTCTTTAACAGTATATTCCTTTAAGCAGGGATTACATATTTGCATCTATTAAAATTGTGCCTTCTCCAACAAAATCCATGAATACAGTAAGAATCTTGAAAGGAATGCTTTGTCCTTCCCACCAAAATAACACTGGCCTTTGCTAATACTTAGAATGAGAATGCTTTGGTCAACATTCTGCTCTTCTCTTCAGGCAACAAACTTTGTTTTCTTGAAAACTTATTTATATCTGGTTTGGAAAAAATATACCATAGACCATAGTACAATATCCTTGTACAATCAAATGCTTCCTGCTACCATGTGTGGCCCAAATGAGAGTTTTGGAGATATATAATCTCTGTAAATATTAAAATCAAATTAGAAATAAGTACCCATGCCAGACTGATTTCTGTCACTTCAGAACATATCTGCTGATTTAGCTTTCTTTCTTCTTACAGTGCTGTGGACTCACTCCCAAGTATTACCAAAAGCATGGGAACTTTGGCTTCTCTGTTTTGCTGTTTTTCAAATGTTTCCACAGGACTTAGAGAGCTTCTGCAGAGATAATGCAGAGTCTGATTTCACTCTATTGGTATCGTTTAAAAGCTGTGTAGCAGAGGACTTCACTGATACGTGTTATTATTGTAAAATTTGCAATACTTTGTATTTAGATTTAATTCAGGGTTTTTTCCTCTTCATAAGATGTACCTTCCAACATTCAAAAGGAAGCACTCTAGATGGCACTGTCTTGGCAGTCTCAACAGAGGACAAAGATTGACTGAATAAGTATTATAAGTATTACATAGGAAAAGTTCTGTTTTGTAAAGATGTCTAGCAATTGCCTCAGAGCTTCATCTGCTGCTGTTAGTTTCAACTCCTGTCCCTGATTTTAGGTTGTTGATAAAAGAATTTGATCTCTTCAGCTACTTACATAACATCACAACCTGATTTCTTTAGTAAAAATACCCTAATCTCTTCAAATATCTCCCACAGCAGCTCAAAGTATATCATTCATTTACTGGAGTTTAGAATGTTCTGCCAGCTGAGAATTTGAATCTGTTCAGCAGAATGCAGTTTGTTTCAAAAATTCTCTAAATATTCAAATATATTATGAAATGTCATTAATAAAAAATACCACAGGCTTATGGAAAAGAAGAAAAGCAGTTATTCAGATTCACTATGTCTCAGTGCTGTGAACTTTGTCTAAAGAGATTTCTGCATAGAAAAGGGTTTAACAAGTCAGAGGCTTTAAAGGACAATGAAGGGATCTGCTCTGTTCTCCCATGGCATTTGTGTAAGTGGATATTCTGCTCTGAAGAACTATCTGGGTGTCTGTAAGAAAGCAATGTAATTTTTTCTTACATTGTCTGTTATCCAGTTAACATTTCTTGTTTTGCTTATCACATTAGTTTTTTGTGTCTGTTGTTTTAATTGGGTAACAATTTCTTGGGTTGGATGTTGGGTTTTTCAATGTCTTTCTGCCAAGTGTAGTTTAACTTGGTCACTGTGGCCTTTGTGTTTTGTCTCCCATTACTGATAGCAATGTGTTGCTACTGATGAGGATAATTTTTTTTTCTGGTGGGGCTGTCTTCAACTTTCTTTGTGGTCAGTAGGAATTTGGAGGCATATGACTAGTTCCAGAATCAATGCAAATATTGTACAGAATTAGGGTGGAGCACTTGAATAACCTTATAGGCTAGAATACCAGAAAGATCAAGTTTTCAACCTACAGAAATTCTTTTTATAGCGTGCTCTGTGGCAAGAAGCACTGTGTCAGTAGGTGGAGAGGGGAAATGTTAGAACATTTGTTACATGCTGATTAATTGCTGTCAAGTGTTGCATTTAAAACAAGATCTGTGTTTTTTTAAAAAAAAATCTGATCTGGTAGTTTGACCACAGACAAAGCATGAGCAATGCCTGAATTGTATGGGTCTGACATCCTAAAAACTCAGGGAGTGAGGAGCAGCCTTGAGGAATTCACAGAGTAAGAAGGCATGAAAGGCTGAGTTTGGAAGGGACTCATTTTCCACATAAGTTTGAAAGAAAAGATTAAGAAATGTTACTGGAACCACATAGTATTTTTTTCAGCTGTCATACAACTGACATAGCTATATGCTATTTATATAGGAGCTAACTAAAAGCCTTCCAAAGTACTTCATGAAAAAATGGGGTCACAATTTTCCTTTCATACAAAAGATTTTTAGCACAGAAGACTCATATCTCCTGCATATTTCATGAATATAGTTTCAGAAAACAATGTAGTCAGTGGGAACGTGCATGGAAGATCCAGCAGAACTATTTTTCCTTTGCCTGGAAAGAAATTGGGCCTTTAGAAGAGGACTCATCTTGCCTATTTTCAGACATCTATATTTGAGATGTCTGCCTTGGGGTGAGATGAACTGAATGTGTGAAGGGAGTGTTTCTTTCTGCTGACTTTAAAAGCAGCAAAGCTGGCTCATGTATGGATGGCTGTGTTGCACAGGTGAATTCCACCCTGGAGTTCTACAGTACAGTTCTCTGGCAATGTGTGGAGGAAGAAGAAAACAGATGGGAGTGGAGACTTTTCAGTGGGGTGTTCTTTTCCTTGCAGTGTCACACAAATGGGATCCATCCACAGCAATAGATCTACTCATTGTGCAGCCATCCTGGTGACAGGGCTCCCACAAAGGCAGGAAAAGCAAAGCAGGGCTGATGGAAAAAGCCCTGAGCAATGGAGCAATATATTTCAGTTAAATAAACTGTTGGTTATTTTCATGGGACAAGAATTGATCTCAGCCCTCTTAAAGAATATTAAGAGCAAGAATTTTCATTTTGAGTATAAGAAAATGCAGAACATTGTGTATGATTCTTACAAAGTAGTAGAGCTTCCCTATTTCTATATGAGGATAGAAGCACCAGGATTATATCAATACCTGTTTGAAAAGTACTACCAATAAAGAGATTTTTGAAAGCACCATTAACTCCCAATGGTGAAATAAATGTGAGCAGATTATTAAAGCAGACAAAAAAGAGTAGCTGTTCCATGGCAAATCCTTTTATGTAAGCTATGTGTCACTCAGTTACGCCCTGCTTGACTGGATAGACTTAAGGAATCAAATAAAAATTGCTGCTGAGAAATAACTTTACATTTCACTTAAAGAAGAAATTTGCTACAGACACATGAGATATTTATGCAGTTACTAAAAGTGTTAAATTTACCAGTTTTCAGGCCTTGAAGTGTAAATTATAAATATTGTAATTTCTCTGCTATAACACATACTATGCATTAGAGCACAGTCACATTTCAAATTCAAATCTGATACATTGCAGTGAGGACTTGGAGCTCTTCACTGTTCTGTTTCACAGACATGGTCAGGGATTTTTCTGTAAAATCTTCAAATTGAAAAAGATGCCATTCAGACTCACAGATGAAAGAGAAATTTGAATTTCCAACTCAATAGTAATAATAATTTATTAATAATTATAAATAATAATTTTAGTATGTTTTTTAATATATTGGTAAGAGACTAGAGGTACTATCCAGCTTTTATGTGAACTGCTAGTTTATATGTTACCCTCATCTCCAGGTATCTAAATGACATCTTTATGTCCTGAATATCAGGTTGCCTAGAATTTTCCTGAATTTGCACAGATCCCAGTGATTTCACTAAAAGCAGTAAGACAAATATACAGTATTTATATTTGTGCAACAAAAATCAAGGTCCCACATCAGTATATAAGAAAATTAAAATAAATAAAGACTAGCTATTTTTTTGGTAAGTGACTGTGGAAAATGAAAATAATAGTATATGGAACTGGGCTCTTTGTGTACTGCAGCATGTTAGGGATCTGTACCAAACAGGTGGGCAGTGCAGTCAGGCCTGCTTCTGCCCAAATCCTTATGTATATTTTTGCTTGTCTTTCTGCAATAATTGTTATTTATATTCTGGTTTTTTCTAATTAAAGCTTGTAACAAGCTAAGGTTTTCTATGCTTGCTTTATCATATAATTGTTGGCTGGTTTCTCAGCTTGATTTGGGTTTAATTTTCTATTTTCTTTCTTTATTTGTACTGATGTACTTGTGATAACACATTGTACAGAACACTCATGTAAGGCCTTCCATAAGCAAAGTTCACTGTCTTGATTCTGTCTGCAGTTCACAACCACTTGATAACTGTGATTTCTTTTGCATGCACACAATGTACAGTGTACATTGCATGATAAACTTTGAGATTGGCATGTAATAGATGATTCTTTCAGCTATTTCATTCACAGTCTTCTGGTTTTAGGTGCTGTGGATGAAAAAGGATAAACCATCTCATATGGAGCTATGAACTATCACAGCAACTGTGGGGAAGAAACTGGATGTTTTCTAAAGGGATTGTCAGTTATATGCTGTGTTCATACTAATTTTGTCTTTTTCCCTTTTATAAAGGCGTTGGAGATGGAGGAAATGAACTAGGAATGGGCAAAGTAAAAGATGCTGTGAAGAAGCACATAAAAAATGGAGATATTATAGCTTGTGATGTTGAAGCTGATTTCACTATTGTAGCTGGTAAGGGATTTTTGGTGATGTTTGAGAATGGAACTGACAAGGAAACATTTGTCTTTCCAAGTAATTTTTATTGGCCCTTTCCAATTCATCCTCAGCAAACTGAGGATCTATCTCTGTATTATGGACATTTTCTGAAGAGTTAAGCACATGTTGCTTCAGAAGAACTGACTGAAAATTGAGAATGTTCCATGAACAAAGTGCACTTAATTGGAAATAGTTGGGAAAATCCTGCATATTTTTGAAAAATCACACATTATATAAATGGAATCCTAGAATGGTTTGGGTTGGAAAGGACCTTGAAGATCATCCAGTTCCTACTCCCCTTGCCGTGGGCAGGAAACCTTTCACTAGACCAGGTTACTCAATAACAAATATAAATAAGGAAGACTGCAGAAATTATCTGTGTGGGAATTAAAATGTCTGTGCATATACAAATTTTCAGTATAATTTATAAACTTCTGTTTAGAGTATGCCTCTATCAGGCATAAATTAGCCATATGGCCCCTTTACAAAGAGATAAGTTCTTTCAATAATCACTCAAGGACAAATGTATGTTCTTGATGTTCAAAAGTTGAATGTTACAGTTAAAATTCTGTTTTACACCAGCATGAAATAAAATTCACAGTGAGAGAGGGATGGTCAGCACAGACCAACTTCTGAACTGGATGCTCTGAATTGTCCTTGGGCTCAGCTTTCTCCGTTCTAACCCAGGTGTCTCTGGCACACTCTGGGCACTCAGCAGGCAATCGGTGCAGGTTGGTTTCCCAGTGTCCCTCTTGCAGGTGTCTCTAACTGGGGTGGCTATGCCATTGCCTGTGCCCTGCACGTGCTGCGCTGCTGTGACACCCACGAGCGGTACCTGCGCCGCGCCCTCGGCCGCCCGCGCGCCCCGAGCCAGCGGCCCTGGCTGCCAGCGCTGCCCTCCGTCCCCAAGGTACCTCCTGGGCTGGGGCTGCTGGGACAGGGAGAGGGAGGTGGACAGCAGCTGCTGAATCTGCCTGGGCTGGCTCAGTGCCTCACCTTCACAGGGTCTTGGGGTGCTTCTGGGGATTCCTTGGGAAGGAGCAGCCTCACTGTGCTTAGACTGTTTTGCACAAAGGAGACAGATTGCAAATAAAAATCCTGCAGTATGAATGTGTTCATGTCTTGTAGCTTCAAGCAGAAGACAGTGCTACAATTTTATGGGCAATGCAAGAGATACAGTGATTAAAATTCCCTGTTTGCTTCCTTAGTATCACTTCACGATTTTATAACCCTCTGTTGTAGTGTCCTTTAGATGTCTGCTTCCAAAATCAAAAGCCACAGTTCTTATGCAGTAGCCACTCCATACTTCTGATCTTTGTACCTTCCCCCTTTTCTAGTTTGCGGGAGCCTTTCTACAATTAGTTTTGAATGTTTCTAAATTGGAGAAAAACTTGTACATGAATATTTTTAAATGTGTTTTGACTAATGCAGCTCTGTACAGTGTGATATTCTGGGACTGCAAAGGTTTCAGACTGAGAAAAAGTAAAATAACTGAGAGGGGTGAGAAATGACTCTGATCTGTGCTCATCCTGTGAAGCACGTGCCTCTATTTTTAACTTGACAGTGGTTAAAAAAAAATCTGTCTATACTCATACAGACACCCCTAATGATTAAATAAGATTTGTTCCACAACTTTGCAATAAATTAGGAGCTTCAAGATTTCAAGATTCAGCTTTATTAGCAGAGATTTGGACAAACCCATTAACTGTGTGATGTCCAAGAATGCTAAGCAAAATGCAATCCATCTGCCATAGCTACTGCCCAAAACAAAGAAGTTTTTCTCCTGAGATGATGGGACATTCTGCATGAAATTCCAACAAAGCACATTTTAAGTATTTTAGAGTAGATCCCACTAATTTTTTTTTTTTAATTCTTGCTCTCTTAGTTTTTCATCTAAAGGTCATAAAACTGAAACTGATCCCAACACTTGGCAGAGCCATATAGCTTAACAAAGCTTATATGGCCCTTTTCAGCAGTCTTTTTTATAAAACAGATTAATTATTTTTCAGTTTTCAGTGTTTTTTCCAGTTGCATCTACTGATTTTTGACCTTTAAATTAATGCATGCTAAAATGACTTTGATCAAAATTCCTGGTAATGAGATACTGTAATTAAATGTTATATTGTGTACAGGAAAACCTTGTTTTTGTTTTACTAAGCTATACATCTGGGAATATTAATGATCCAATAATGGGCTACTGAAAGTGCAACTCTAAAATCTGTTGAGATAAAATTAATGGAAACAGTTCTGTGGAGGAGAGAAAATGACAAAATGTCTGACGAGAAAATATGATGTCTTTAATTATAAATCACACAACAATGAACAGTGCAGAAGATTGAATACATTAGTATTCACATACTCCATTAGTATAAAAAATCAGACCATTTCTGTTTATCTGGTCACTTTCTGCAAAATTCAGCTTCATTTAATGCTATAATAATTACCCTAATGAGATAAAGAGCAACACCACACAGACCCATCTCGGTGTTTGTATTTGTGGTTGTAAATGGAAAGAGGACATTAGAAGGAGTCCCTTAGCACCAGGCAGCTTTCTTATAATGTGTTCTATTTTTCTTCAAAAAATGGCACTTCCATGAA